TCAAAATATACATTGAAGGGTTATCATGTGCCCGTTATCACACCAGATATAGTCAGGGATACGAGGAAAATGAAATACACTTCTTGATCTTGGGGGTGTGGGGGAAGACTCCACTATACATATGTTGTTTGATAAAAACACAGCATATGTTTAAATTATTTCTTAAAAACTCTGAATCTATTAGTGTTTGCTGTAGTCTGAATGTTTGTGCCCCCTTAAATCAAAGATGACACAAACAGATGGAGAGATGTACATGTTCTTGGATTGGAAGAATCAATATTGTGAAAATGTTAGGAGGTGGGGCTTTAATCCATTTTGAGTTTATTTTCGTGTATGGTGTAAGGGAGTGTTCTAATTTCATTCTTTTACATGTAGCTGTCCAGTTTTCCCAGCACCACTTATTGAAGAGACTGTCTTTTCTCCGTTGTATATCCTTACCTCCTTTGTCATAGATTAGGCGGGGCTCTGGGGAGTGAGTAGGCCATGAGGGTGGAGCCTTCATAAATACGATTAGTGCCCTTATAAAAGTGGAAGGAGAGAGCTCCCTTGCCCCTTCCATCAGGTGAGGTTGCGCCCAAAAGTCTAGGAAGCAGGTCCTCATCAGACACTGGATTGGCCAGAACTTTGATCTTGGACTTCCCAGCTTCTAGCTCTATGAGAAATAAATTTTTGTTTATAAGCCACCCACTCTGTGGTATTGTCTTATAACAGCCTGAATGAACTAACATGGTGTTCCATCAAAAGCCACTTCCCTTCTCAACTCTGCTGGAAGGAGGGTAGGATTTTATAGTTTGGTAGTAAGTAGCACTGGGAGCTAGGAGCTTTTGACCACATAAAACTTCACGGGGACAGCAGCAGGGTTACTCTGGGAACTCTGAGACTCATTTGAGAAGATTCATGTAAGCAAGGTAAGCACCAGATGGGAAGAAAAATCAGACCTGAAACGAAAGCTTTCTGAGAACAGGACTGCAACTCGTGCTAAAGTGTCAGGGCACTGAGCCATGGGGAAGGGCAGTTCCCCTTACTTGCTCTGTAGTTATTTAGGTTCGTCGAAAGGAGGGCTTCCTCTGCAAGGGCCCAGAAACGCTGTGAGTGACAGCCTGTGCAGACAAGCATGAAAAGGAAATTCTGGGGGAAGGAACCAATGGGTCTGGCTGCCTCTTGCTAAGAGATGCGGCAGCAGCGGTGAAGCAAAGATGATCACACACACACACACACACACACACACACACA